TTTTTTTGTCCATCTCACTTATAAATTTATAATTTAAATTTAAAATATTTTAGTTTTACTAAAATTATTATACTTAAATCGCTTGAGTCGTTACCAATTTAAGAGTGAAATGAACTTTCAACCTACAAAAAAAAAGACTGAATATTTTTTTGGAGGGGGGGAGGGGAGAAGAATGAATGCATAAAATGGATATTATTTAGGACAATACCACTTTCAGAAGAAAAGAAATGCCAGTGGGGAATGCATGTATTTGTTTTTTGTGGCATCTGCTGTATTTGTGGACTTTTCCTCATTGGCAGACACAAACTCTAACCTATGCATTAATTAAAAAAAATGTAGTAATTAAAACATAATTAAGTTTGATTGGATGAAATTAGGTCAAATTGTGAAACTAAGAAAAACCCACCAATTGTTGTTGTTTGCTCATAGCCATTAACAACCTACCTTATCTTTTTAGATAATCTAGTTTATGACAAGTCTTGGGTTTGGTGTGGTGGGAAATCCATCAATATTCGGTCATTGGGATCTTTTCTTTGCCCCATGTATCTTCACATGGGACCAGCATACCAGGCCACAGTCCTGTTATTTTACATCCTTACTTTAATCTACTAGTAGATTTCCTTTTCATTTCATGTTTAAGCAATCCATCTACCTTTCTCATTGTCACTTGTCTATTTACAAAGGTAAAGAAAAAAATCTTCTCCATTTAAAAATATTAAATTTTAATATTAATATCACTTTTAAAGTGAAAGTTAATGTGTCATTTATGAATTGATCTCATAACAACAATCTTTATTATATAAAGTAATTCTAAGCGTGGAATAAATGAATAAATAAATAAATAAATAAAAATTATTTATCTTTATTTGTGCATTTCAAAATATAAATTTATTATTTTTTAATTTAAAATTTAAAATTTTGAAGGCATAATTTATGATAATAAAATCTAAATTTTATTAATTTTTTTATACATCAAATAATAAATTATATAATAAAAAATAATTCTTTTTTTAAACCTTTTTTATTTATCTCATAATTTAAACAATAACTTAGTAATTAACAACTTTTCAATTAAAATCGATAAATACCATACTCAAGTGCTTAAATTATTAAGAATAGATAGATAAGATAAGATCTTTTCCATTTCATTTACAATCACGCTTATTTTATCTTACTAATACGATGGTCAGATGTTTTCAAGCACACTATATGATTAGGTGTATTATATGATCAAGCGATAGTGGAGGTTTCAAGGAGAATGAGATGTAAATGGAATTAAGAAGATGTAGGGTGAAAGAAATGATTTGAAGACACAAAGCACAAGATGATAGGGGGAGAGACTGATTTGTCTTGGGTGGGTGGCTAAAAATGTGCAAGAAGAGATCATAATACAATTTCGTGACAAAAGTAAACTGAGGATATCTCATGGCATCTAAAAGGGAATGACTAGATGCCTTGACTTGAATTGAACCCGTCGTGCACGGAGCCGATAACCCAATTACTTCTATCTTCAACCATTCATAAAATCATCCCAAGAGAAACTCATCATACTTGTCAACTATTTTCAGAGCACAAGATTTTCTTTTCCCGCTGTAAATTATAGTTTAACCATAGTCCTCAGGACCAAATACATGAATCTTTCTGTTTGAAAATGCTGAAATTTCAAAATACATGAATCTATATCTTTCAATTACATATCTTCAGATGAACTTTGGTTTGATTTTTATAACCTTTTGAATTTGACAAGAATGATGGAGGGGAGAAAAAGAAGAAAACGACAGGATAAGAAGCTATTTGTGTTGGGATAACATGTTACTACAGAGGAAGTCTTGTCAGAACCAGCCCACAAAAAAAATCTCAATTCTCCAACTTTGGTGGTGGGTCATCTCCTTATCTGGAAAGACAAAGGGGGCTATAGTTGATAAGATGCTTCATCCTTTTCTCAAAAGCAGTATCTTATCACGGAACAATGAAACAATCCTGCTCCACGATCCCTATATCAAGCTATAATATGCTTTAATTCTTGCCTTCTACTACTATTTTTGTATGAATTTAGAGCAGTCATCTCCCGTGGAAAGAACACAATCAAGGGCAGAAACCAGAAAGTAAATGGAACTAAACAGACAAACATATGTCAAAGAGGAACAATTTATTGTATTATGATTACAGAAATGAGAATTACAGAACCAACCAACAGTTTATTGTCATAAATTAATCACTGCTAGAGTGCTAGACAATTAGATGTACTTCATAACAAATTATTCGTCTAATCTAGTCTTTAGCATAACCGAATCAATGAGTAAATATGAAAGTAAAATGAGGAGCTATAGCTGAGAAGTATAATCTACTATCTGATACAACAGAACTACACGCCCCATCCTTCTTTTGTCCTGGCATACTTCAAGATCGATCCCTTTGCTTTGCAGAATCACCCAGGCAGTGGAGATGGAAACTCATACAAATTACAAACTAGCAACTTGCAAAATTTTACATCATAGAGATGCCTTGAGTAAATGGAATGGCAATGTCTCTAGGAAGTTTGTCCCCTGGCCTCAAAGGTAACATATGTACAGGATAAATGGTTCCCATGTAATAATTAAGGCAGAACTGCTGCTGTTGTGCTTGGCCCTTTGGGGCTTACTACAGGAGAGAATTGACTGGCTTGGACAGTCACACAACAGAAGAAGTAGTACGGCGAAGATCTACTTCAAGTTTCCCACCAGGTGATCTACCTTTGAAAGTGCCATATCTAACTGGTCTGGGCTGGAAAAGAGAAAGAAGCATATTCTCCAGAGCATGCACAGTGTACTTTGAATACTTACTGGAACTTGCATCTTGCTCAACCAATGGTCCATAATTTTGCATATAGCTCCTATAAACTGGCACGACTGCCTGCACCATAAGCTGACATGTCTTCTCCCTGAGATCTCCTTCTGAGATAACCCACTCAGACTGCTTCTTATACATCTCATCAAAAGCCTCATTGAATGCTTTCAGCCTTTTCTTTACAAGATCACGAGCAGTTGCACGCCCACCTGAGAACAGAATCAGATTTTCTCGACTTAAGTGACTAGGAAGCTTGCCCCAGCTCTCTTTCAAGAAAACAGTAGCATAGTACTCCTTAGAATGCTCATGTTCTCTTAACCAAGATTCCCCCAGGAGATCCCCAAGTTTTGTACCCTTTAGATGCTTATACAAATGCCAGTGGCTGTTCATTCCAAAAAGACAGGACAGAGTAGGATCCTCAAAGGCCTTCATCCATGTCTCCAAATTCAGCTCAACTGCTTTGATAACATTCAAAATCTCATCAAGAAGGAGCCTCTCTTGGAACTTCTCACGCTTCCAACTTCGGTGTATGACCAGAACTTGGGTCAGGATTGGCTTATAATTTTCCCCAAGCAGTTTATTACAGTAATCAGTAAGAAAAGACACCACTCTTGGAACATTCCCATCTGGAGGAGGTGAACTCTTCCTCTGCAATTCCACCTGAAAACGGAGTTCCCAGAAAATCTCAGCAGCGCCCTCAATCACCCTCTTGATGAGATCTCTTGTCAGGTTTTGGATTTCAGCACATGCTGCTCCTCCAAAAAGCCGATTAAAATCCAATCTCAATTTGTTTAGGGATGCAAATATATCCAACAACTTAAGAAGTTTGATAGGATCTTTCTTACTCTCTGTGACAGTCTTCCCAAATTGTAGAAAAGCAAGAATACCTGCTTGGGCCGCTATTTTAGCAAAACAGCCCATCCAAACATCTGGACCAATCCTCTCAAACACATCATTACATAGTTTGTACTCTGCCTCGAACAAATGCTTCACTGCAAACTCCAAATGCTTTCCCCACTGTGCTATGTACCCCTCAATTCTCTGCACATCATTGAATTCTGAGACAGATATCTCAAGATAATCCAAATCAAGTGCTTGCAAACTAGCTCTCACGTTTGAACCACGAACTTCAACATAGATTGATATGCACTTCTCAAGTCTTTTATTAGCAATCAGCCTACCAAGAATTGCATGCAACTTTTGAATAACAGTAACAGGTAAAGCTGATGGAGCAATGCATGCTTGTTCTCCAAGTGATGGAGATGACATTGGAAGTGGCACACTATGTTCTGTCAAAAGCCGTCTAAACTCATTTTCCAATATATCTAATGCAGCATCTAGAAGCCCACCATCAAGATGTGCTCTTTCACCATCATTTTGCAATTCCCTTAGACTCTTCAATGACTTCTTCAAATTCAAGATATAACGCTCATCAGCAACTCTGTTATCCTCCAAATACTCCACTATGTCCTCCAACCACTGGATTGCCAATCCACAGTTATCCCCCAGAAAACGCAATGCCTCCTCAAGCCGTTTCAACACTGACAGATACCCAGGAAGCTCATTGCGGGGATCTGATAGCAGTGACTTTTCAAGCCCATGAACCGCATCAAAAACCTTAAGCACAGCAGCAGCAGGTCCCACAGCTCGGTTAATATGACCTCCAACAGCAACAAGGGCATCCTTATCTGCACGAATGGGGCGAATTGCAGCCGCCAAAGATGGCAATCTTTGGTTAATCTCCTCCAATCTCGATCCTGCCTTCTCAAGAGCTAAACCTAGAGCTTTGGATTTCTCTAAGCTTAGCTTTAACGAATTCCTTGCAGCTATCAAATTCTCAATCCCATTATTACTCTCGGTATTAGTCGGACTCACTGATGCTGCCATTGAATCCCAAAACCCTAATCAAAACCCCACCTCAAAAACCCCAGTTTTAAGCTATGAATCTCAATCAATTGACACTAAGGGATCTAATCTAAGTAAATAATCAAGATCGGCTTTTCAAATGGTAAAGTTTATCAATTTCCCTAGTAATCATCAAAGAAAATAGCTGGAACAAAATCACCCAGGACTCATATAGGAACAAAACCCTCATTTTTCTTTCCTAGTTCAACAAAGTTTCACCAAACTAAACCAAACCCATACGCCAAAACACAAAATGCATAAACCCACGAAAGCAAGGACAACCTTGATCAGAAAAAAAAA